TATAGTTTAGTCCAAACTAAGGTATTAATCCTTCTACTTTTTAGATATGAAACCGTATTAGAATCACTGGTCGAGCCGATTCAACTTGTTATGGGCCGAGCCAGCGGGGTGATGTCTGTTTTGTATTTTTCCGCCCGGTTAATCAAAATCAATCTACGAATAGGAAAAAGGAAATCCAGCCAAATCAAGTCCGTCCCCTTCGTGTTAATAAATTGGCAAAAAGTACAATGACCAACCAAATTCTTCGCGATTAGGGTTCTGCGCAAAGCGCAACTCCGCAAAATCGAAAAAGCTTTCGGACCCAAAATCCTCCCCTGTCCTCTGGTCGTCCCACCACCAGTTCTCCGTCAGTCAGCTCTATCATACCCACCGCCGCCGCGGCCTCTTCTCCGCCTCTAGCCAGTTCCTGAACGCAGCGCCGAAGTAGGGAGGAAGTACTTGTCGAGTCGTCGACAATGGGGAATTCAGGGAAGGAAGCCGATGCATCCCTTGGCTACCTGACCAGGAAGGATACGGAGGTGAAGCTCCCCCGTCCTACTCGGGTCAAGAACAAGACCCCAGCTCCGATTCAAATCACCGCCGAGCAGATTCTCCGCGAGGCACGTGAGCGGCAGGAAGCCGAAATCCGCCCTCCCAAGCAGAAAATCACCGACACCGGTGAGCTTGCGGACTACCGTCTTCGCAAGAGGAAGGAGTACGAAGACCTGATCCGGCGGGTCAGGTGGAACATCAGCGTTTGGGTGAAGTATGCTCAGTGGGAGGAGTCCCAGAAGGATTTCAGCCGAGCTCGCTCCGTCTGGGAGCGAGCTCTTGAAGTTGACTACCGTAACCACACGTTGTGGCTCAAGTATGCCGATTTTGAGATGAAGAACAAGTTCATCAACCATGCTAGGAATGTTTGGGATAGGGCAGTCAGTCTTTTGCCGAGAGTGGATCAGCTATGGTATAAGTATATACATATGGAGGAAATGCTTGGTAATGTAGCTGGTGCCCGCCAGATCTTTGAGAGGTGGATGGATTGGATGCCTGACCAGCAAGGTTGGCTTTCCTTTATCAAATTTGAGCTTCGGTATAACGAGATTGAGCGTGCTCGAGGAATTTATGAGAGATTTGTTGAGTGCCACCCTAAGGTTACTGCTTGGATTAGGTTCGCCAAGTTTGAGATGAAGAATGGTGACATAGTTAGGGCTAGAAATGTGTATGAGCGTGCAGTTGAGAAGTTGGCCGAGGATGAGGAGGCAGAGAATTTGTTTGTGGCATTTGCCGAGTTTGAAGAGAGATGCAAGGAAACTGAACGTGCTCGGTGTATATACAAGTTTGCTTTAGATCATATCCCCAAGGGAAGTGCCGAGGATCTGTATAGGAAGTTTGTTGCTTTTGAGAAGCAGTATGGAGATAAGGAGGGGATAGAGGATGCGATAGTCAGTAAAAGGAGATTCCAGTATGAAGATGAAGTGAGGAAAAACCCGCTCAATTATGATGCTTGGTTTGATTACATTCGCCTGGAAGAAAGTGTAGGGGAGAAGAATAGAGTTAGAGAGGTTTATGAACGTGCCATTGCTAATGAGCCTCCTGCGCCGGAGAAGAGATATTGGCAGAGATATATCTATTTGTGGTACACTGTTTACTCTGTTTCTTAGATGTGGATTGGACTGGATTTCTTTTTGTTACTGGCGAGTAATTATGTTTCACCTTTTTTTGGTTTTGTCATTCAGGATAAACTATGCCCTCTATGAAGAGCTGGATGCAGAAGATGTTGAGCGAACAAGGGCGGTCTACAGGTAAACCAACTTTTAGGCTATATATCATGTTGGTAGTTTCTGCTGCCAGCCATTTTCTCACTAGTTGCTATATCGGTTTTATAATGTTTAAGTTTAGAGAATCTGTATAAGACTGTACTTGAACGTGTTACTGCTTACTTGTGTATTTGTTTTTACCTGTCTGCACCTGCATGGTTTTCAATTGAAGCTGAACCATACTTGAGTGGCTTTCTGACACTGGTAGCTATGGTTCTAGGTTGTGCTTGCAACAAATACCTCACGAGAAGTTCTCATTCGCTAAGATTTGGCTTTTGGCTGCCCAGTTTGAGATCCGGCATCTAAATCTGAAGGGTGCTAGACAGATTTTAGGCAATGCAATTGGAAAGGCTCCAAAGGACAAGGTAAGTTTTAGGAGCATTGTTCGGTGGTGGGAAACTTAATAATACACTGTTATTTTTGGTTCTAACTTCTTGATTGTGAACAAACAGATATTCAAGAAATATATCGAGATAGAGTTGCAACTTGGTAATATGGACCGTTGCCGGAAACTTTATGAAAAGTACCTGGAGTGGTCCCCTCAAAATTGCTATGCCTGGAGTAAATTTGCCGAGTTGGAGAGATCCCTTGGTGAAACTGAGAGAGCAAGAGCAATTTTTGAGCTAGCCATTGCTCAACCAGCCTTGGATATGCCTGAGCTTCTGTGGAAGGTACTACCTATAATCTCTGTTTTAGTCAAAAGCCTCTCTCCCTGTCATTGTTGATGTTTTGTAGGTTTAGTTTCTTCAATGGTGTTCCTGAATCCTCATTAAAGAACTTGGCATAACTAATTGATAGCTTCGCCAGTGGCTTTATGGTAGCATAAGTTTTTTTTTTTTTCCTTCACTGCTTTCTGTGGAATGCTGCCCATGAATTGGAAAATTGACTCTTCTTTCATCTAACTGCAGGCATATGTTGATTTTGAAATCTCTGAGAAGCAAATCGATAGAACACGGCAACTTTATGAGAGGCTGTTGGATCGGACCAAGCACCTGAAAGTCTGGATCAGCTATGCAAAGTTTGAAGCTTCCGCAATGGCCCCGATGGGGAATGATGAAGATGATGATGATTCGGAGGAGGCTACAATTTCTGAGGATCAGAAGAAAGCTACAATTTCTGAGGATCAGATGAAATTGTGTATTCAAAACGCAAGAAGTAAGCTTTCTATCTCTATTTATATTTCTTGTATTATTCTGTTTCATGTTGTCCGGATTATTTTTTTAATTCATTTCAACAACTATTTTCCTTCTGCATATCAGGTGTTTTTGAGAAAGCCCTCAACTACTTCAGAACTACTGCTCCTGAGCTGAAAGAGGAGCGGGCGATGCTTCTAGAAGAATGGCTCAACATGGAGAGCAGCTTTGGCGAGCTTGGTGATGTCGCTTTGGTCCAGCCTAAGCTACCGAAGAAGTTAAAAAGGAGGCGGCCAATCAGTTCAGAAGATGGTATCTCTGGGTATGTATTTCGAAACTACCTAACTTTACGATCTCTGTCGTTTTCCATTGTTCGACTTCGATTGCTTTCGTTGTTAGCAGCAAGTTTAACAAATGTGGGGATGTTTGTTTTCTTCTCAGGATGGAAGATTATGTCGACTATGTGTTCCCGGAGGAAAATAATGCTCCAAACCTAAAGATCTTGGAAGCGGCTTACAAATGGAAGAAACAACGGCTTTCTTCTTCAGACGATTAGCCGAAATCTCTCTGTTGTTTGTTCTGGGTTAATTCACTTTGGCTATGTACAGATCGTTGGGGGTGTTTATGGTGCTTTGGAGCAAAAAGGATGCCAACCATGTCCACTGGAACCTTAGAATGCCTGTTTTAACGTGGAAAAATTGAGTGTCCTAGTTTTGACATTGAAGCGAGTAGGGAAGAAGAAACGGCTGTGTGTTGATTCTGTTATTGTTAGCCCGAGATTGGATTACTTGCGCACTTACTTACTAGTGTACTTGTTCTATGAAAACCGTTTGAAGCAGGAATCAGATGGGTAACATTAGGTTTTTTTTCTGTCAATTTACAGCGTTGTGTTTTATTTTGTCTTCCATATCCTCTCTTTTGGGCTGATAATATGTCACTATACCAGCACTACGCCACAGCCGATCCATCTATCAAGAAAATAGAAAGAACCTAATAAATGAACTAAATAAAGACTGTCACAAACAGAAAGAGTTGGCTTGACTCTCTATAAAGTATAAACCCATAATTTCGGAATTAAATTTTGTATATATGTATTTTAAAAGATGTTATTGTTTTTGGGTGATATATGTCTGTTTTTTAGTTGAATGTTACTTAGAGGATTAGAATCTGGAACCAAGTTTTTTTGTTCGAAAAAAAAAAGAAGTTTCATATGATACATTTTATAAATGAATTGTGAGTTTTGCATTTTTTTTCAGATTTAGATCGGATGGTGAAACGAAAAAGTTGGTAGTTGATGGTTCAATGATTAACGGTTATGAAATCGTTGGTAACTGTTGATAGAACCGTTCATGCGCAATAATATAAAAAGCATATATAATATACTAATTTAGAAGTGAATTTATCACTAATCGTAATTCACAAAAAAAAAATCAAATTCATATCATCTATCACCAAAAAGTTCTAAAAAAGTATTTTATCTCTCAAAAGAAATTATAATTTTTTTATTAAATTCAAATTATTAAAAAGAATGACAATATGTAGTGAACCAGATTAATGCAATAAGGAGGCTACGAAATGAAATTTTTTTTAATGATTGAGGTTGGATAGTTTTAGTTTACATTAACGTATTTTATTATTAATTTTTCGTGGTTAAACTAGTGAGAGTTCATCTCTGGTCTCGTGTCAAACTGTTTAAAATCATTTGGTCCATCTATACCGTATAATCAAATGAACCGAAAGCTATTGTAACTATTTTAATGGTTCTACTGATTCAATCGTTGATCCGATTTGGTCAGGAGTTTTGTGATTAAAATACCAAATTATCCTTCAATATACAGTTTTTTTGTTGTTGAAAGTTTAGCTGTTTAGGTGACAATCCATCACCAGAATCTACCGCCTAAACGACAAAGTAGAAGTCTTCTACCAGTCACTTACCCTTCCGCGATTAACTTCCACGCTCCTTTAGTTCTTACGCCCACCTAACACAGCCCAACAAACAAACGGAAGCTTTTTAATTTTGCTGCTCTCATTGTTATAGTAATATCTTTTTTTGTTGTATTTTTCCTCTTGTTTTTTTTATGGAAGGGATATTTTTCCTCCTGTTTAAGAACTGCACCCCAGTCGGAGAAAATTTCTGTACAAAATCTCTCTCTGCTACTTCGGGGGCTTGGGTGTCTATTCAACGACACCGGCCGATTCGAGTTTGACTCAGTCCCCCAACCCGCAACGCCAGTAGTCTCCCCTCCTCTCCCTTCTTCAGCTTTCCTTGCGGCGGCGAGGTAATTGAACTCCAGCTGGGTTGCTTCTGCTGTCGAGCTACAATGGGCTCAGTTGCACAGGTGAAGATTTCTTTACTTTTTTCTACTCTAGGCGATAACAGATTGATAATCAGAACCAGGGTTGACTCGGTGGGATTCATGACTGACTGGTTTGCCGTTTTCTTCTGGTGATCAAGGGTTTTACCAAGTCTCTGGCGATGACTATTCTGTCCGAGATCGGCGACAAGACCTTCATCGCCGCCGCGGTGAGTTGGTTTTTGTTTCCTACTTCGCATATAAATCTCTTTGATTGCTGGGTTTGATGGGAAACATGATATTGTATTCTCCGGCTGGGCTCCGATTGTTTCTGGATTTTTTTTTTTTTTTTTTGCTGCTGGAGCTGGATGTGGAGGAATCCAATTTAGAATCAAAGTATATATGCCAAAGTGAAGTAGATTAGCTATAGATAGGTACCCATCGTAAAATCTGATTGCTTTAGTAAACTTTAGAGGAATTAAGAAACCATTGTAAATATTAGTTGATAGCAAAGTCACATAAGTCCTGTCAATATTTCCTCCATTTTCAAGGCAAGTTTCTTGAATTTCAAGCTTCCACTTAAATGGGTATATTAAGTGACTGGATTGATGTAACCAACTGGCTACCCATTTTTTGAATTTTGGTTCTCCATTATGGGTACATGTAAATACAGTTCTACTTCCCCAAAAACTGATTCTTCTATCTTGACATGTACCGTGTCATGCACGGGGTTCTGTTTATACCCCTAAATGATGAAGCCCCTTGAGGTTTTGTAAGATCATCTGAGGGGTCGCTTCCATGGTATTGGATGCAGTAGCAGCAAGTCATTGATGTTGTTGTACTTTGCTCAAAAGATGCTTATAACTGCACTTGTTTTCAGTTACTTGTCTGAACTTTTGCCTGTGATGATTCATGTGCCGTACTTGCAGGTTTCAACACTTTTAAGTCCCTAAGTTTTTTTGGTTGTGATTGCTTTGAACTCCCCAATTTAGACCATTGACACCTTTGTTAAGTTTTGGATTCATTGTACCTGTTTCTGAAACCTTTCTTGTATTTTGTGTGTTCGTTTTGGCGCATCTGAAACTTTTGTTTGTTTCAAGATATTGGCAATGCGCCATCCAAGGAGGCTTGTTTTGGCAGGATGCCTGGGTGCATTGATCGTAAGTGTGTTTTACATCTCCGTCATCTTGATTTTACATGTTGGGACACCCATGCCTTGGCAGCTAATTTAATACCATAATAATAACATTTTGCAGGTTATGACTATGCTTTCTGCTGTTGTCGGTTGGGCTGCTCCAAATCTGGTACGACCTAGCTAGAAGAGTTTTGTGCTTTTGTGAGAAGTTGGCAGAAAATCGGTTTTCTTTTTCAATGTCCTCTGTGCTGCTGCACCATTGTGACCTACTTTTTCATACTGGTTTACATACGTCATGAAGTTTAAGGCCCATCAATATCTTAGAAATTGAAACATTTAGTCAGCTTTGTGAGACCAAACAAAAAGTGATCATGTTTCCTACATGTCCTCTTTAGAACTGGTGCTGTGTTGTATTACCATGTGAAAATCTCACTCATGTTTTTGTAACTTTCGTTTCTGTTATTGTGCTGTGCTTTAGTGGTTATCTTTGCATCTTCATTAGTTGGGGAATTATAGGTGCAATTGTTTAATTAACGTCTTCTCCATTATATTCTAGGTTATACTGTAGTGTCTCATTATGTTTTAGGTTACAGTGTCTGAGTTTCTGTGCGCCCTCCTTTTTACTTAATGGTTCAATTTGTTTATGCAGCTCTCTCGTACATGGACACATCATATCACGACAGTATTGTTTTTTGGCTTTGGGCTTTGGTCTTTGTGGGATGGATTTAAAGGAGATGGGTATGTTACTTTTCTGATCATTCTCTTCCTCTTGAGCTCATCTTGCTTGTTCTATTGTTTCGTTTAGCTTGTTTCTTTCTTGCCCTTTTCATCTTCTTTATGTTTTCTTTCATTGGTTTCAATTCTTTTCTGTTCAATAGGGATGCTGATGAATTGGCTGAAGTGGAAGCAGAATTGGTAATTATCTGTTGTAATGACATTTTACATTCAAGTGAATCCTATTTAACTTTTCCTTAATCTGCATTGTAGGATGCTGATTGGAAATCTAGTGCTGGAACGAACAAGGAAGATAGCAAGGTAGAGTGCCAGTGCCGAGATTTTAGTAGCGGTTATGATTTCGGGCATCTGTTGATATTTTCATAGCTTTCATGATCGATTACATTTGGCTTGTCTACTCACGCAAGTCATTCCTAATGTATTTGCTTGAACCTTTTGACAGAATGGGGATGAGTCAAAAAAGAAAAGGCGGCCATTTATGGCACAGTTCTTTTCACCTATTTTGTTGAAGGTAATAGGTTTGTTTTCCTACATTGTTCTCTGAAATATCGGAAGCTCATCAGGTTTCTTTCGTGCTTGCTGATTCAGGCGTTCTCCATTACATTCTTTGGTGAATGGGGCGACAAGAGTCAGGTACAGATGATCAATGCTGCGATCTTTATATGAACATGCATGTTCAAATGTTGAGTTGTTTCTCAAATTCTCACTCTGAGCTTCATCTGTTTCAGCTAGCTACTATTGGTTTGGCTGCTGATGAGAATCCATTTGGTGTTGTTCTTGGTGGGATTTTGTACGTGATAAAAGTTTATTGCTTTTTGGTTGGTAGTTTATGAATTTTGTCAACATTTTAGAGCATCACTAATTATTTTCGTGTTGATTTTTCATTTCGGTTTCTCCTGTTCGGCTGACCCCAATTATCAGAGGACAAGCATTGTGTACAACTGCTGCTGTTGTAGGAGGGAAGAGCTTGGCCTCACAGATATCTGAGAGAATGGTGTGTAGATACTCTGCTTATGCACACTAGCTTGGTTGAAAAATTGTTGTGCATTTATTCTTCTTTTCCCTTTTTTGTTTCTTGGAGGCAGCTGTGCGTTTGTTCTACTCGTTTCATGAGAGTGATGAATTAATTATGATTTCATGTTTTTTCTTTAATGGGCATGATTTCATGTTTCAGGTTGCCCTCTCAGGTGGAATTCTATTCATTGTATTTGGCATCCAATCCTTTCTTTCAGACGTCAGCTAAAAGGAGAAGCTTTATAAACTATACTAACGGTTAGTACCTACAAGCTGCAATACATAACTATATGATCGTTTCATAGTTGATCATTCATCTCATTTACGGGGCTGCTAATGATGTCATGAGCAGAGAAACCTGCTTTTGACGCCGTATGGATAATCGAAACTAATCATAGGTTTGTTCTTACATCCAGAGGGATAGCAAAGGTGGTTCATCTAGTCGTAGAAACCACAGGCGTGGTGGAAGTCTGCTATTAATTTATGCTCAGCCAAGTTCCAGAGCGGTACTCTCTTTGTAACGAAAGATTGGTCTATCTGAACGAGGAAGATACTGCGCCATATTTCTGGCATCGGAGGATGTTTGATGGAACTACTGTGTGGCTGAGCAGATGATTTAACATGCCTTTACCTGGGGACTTAAATAAGAACATTTTCTTTTTATACTGCTTTTGTCACCTCCAACAAGCTCATGGGGGTTCCAGATAATCAATCAAATCTGCATTGACCTCACTCTCAGTCGCCAAGATTGTATTATGGAACGTTGCCAAAATTGGATTAGACTTTATGGACTTCTCATATTTTCTTGTTCAGTAAAATTACTACCACAACTGCTAAATAGTAGGACTGAAGTCGATGAATAGGGTAAAAGTTCCTTACTCAAAAGGACTAAAAACCATTTGCCACCACTTCTGCATCCAACCCATTGGATGTTACGAGTATTGGCATCACATACCTTTTCTTTTCAGTCTTGTTTCCATATATATACACACCCTATCCCCAATACAACTAACAGTGGCACTATAGAGAAGCAACTTCAAGAGAGGTATTATCGTCCTGTTCAGGCTGCCTCATTCAACATCCACCGCTCGCAGGTTCAATTGAACTCAACAGACCGTTCCCTCGCAGCTGTGTGCAATGATCCTCCGCGTCAGCCTGGGCGCATATAATCACCACTGCTAACCCATTGATATGTGCCTCTTGCATTATGTTGACTGCATTATCCACCGTCATCCCGGGTATGACCTTCATCAGCACTTGGACTACGTATTCCCGTTTGTTGAAATTGTCATTGTGCAGCATCACACGATAAGGGGGTGACATTTTCCTCGATTTCCTGGGCATTAAACAAAACAGTAATGCTGGTGACAATCACAATCATAGATTTGATTTGATCTCAGCTTGAAGTTGAAATGAATGATGGAGAAGTTACCTCAAGTCAAACTCAGAGTCACGGCCAGGAGTGGTTTTCTCAATCACTGGTCTGTCCAGTACACCTCCCCCTTTACCTGGCGCTGCTGCTGATACTGCCATGAGAATCCCACGGAAGTTACATCTCCCTCGACATAGAGAGTGTTTATCCCCTGGTAAAAGGTCAAGCAACATAAGCCACCTAATAGATATCCATGCAGATGCACTATGACCTCTGTTCAAGGGTACTTTGTAAAAGACAGAATGTGCCCAAATGTTCAGAAACCATGGAATATTAGATTGTCAACAGAGCTAGAACAACAAATTCAACTTAGCAGAATCGAGAAACACATCACAAAGATAAATATTTGCTGCTTGGGGCCAAGAATCAACGATAGACGGATAACTATGTGCCAAAAAGGAATGCAGTATCGTATGGAGCACTTGCAAATGACCTAAATATGCAATTTACAGCTTGGATGAATCGAAAAGTGATCAAAACTAAACAAAAGAAGCAATGTAATACCTTACAGAAGCAGCAATAAGAAAATTTAATCTAAAAACGGAACTCCTACAAGCCATCCATGATGATTCTGCCTCATGCTACGACATGTTTCATTGTGTAAAAACGTGTGTGCGAATGCAATGAACACTAGTCAGGCAGGCAATCTAGATAAATTCGTTTCAACTGACAAGCATGTAATGGCCTAAACTAAAGCAAGCGTATAACAATACATGTTGGCAGAGAGTTAAGTACTCCACGGGGGTAAGCCCTATAATATCCTATCCATCCACAAACACTCCAGACAACTAATGGTGGATTCCACCAATTCAACAACAAAAGCAAACAGTAGAGCAAACACAAACTACAACTTATAGACAACTTTGTATACAATCAACTCCCCATTGCCTGACGAATCCTTAAAGAGTCGCGATTATCATGGCGCTTTTCGACCAGTTGCTCCACGAAACGAAATGCACGCAGCCATACCAGAGCACAGAGTTACTAATCAGTCAACACTCAACCAAACTGAACTCTAGCAATCTTGTACTGTTATCTTTTGTAATCCATCTACTAAGCAGAACTAATAAAGAGCTTCTATTCTCTTCACCATTCAAGGAAACAAAAGAAACCCAATTGAAGAAGACTCAAAATACTGAAAATAAACCACCCAAAGTATGAAGCAGCTATTCGTCCAGCTTCTGCCAAGTGTACAACAGTTACCCGATTGATTACCCATCAGCTGGGGAGAAACACCAGAAAGAAATCCATGGGGGGCATATCAAGAACTAACTATCCAGGAAACAACTAACCCAATTGAATTGGCGGCGAGTTGGGTTGAATTAGAGAGGAAAAGGGGCGAAATTACTACATAGTTCTAGCTGTCTCAATTCCCGTGGAGAAAAAAGGAATTGACGAAGCTGATAACAGAAATCGACCATAAACGGTAAAAGGGTTGGAGATTGAGAAAGGAGCAATAATCTGGATCCCAAAATCAAAAGCAAGAGAACGGGGAAGGGAAACCTGGCTTGGGATTGAAGACGGGATTGGGTGAGAGACCGATTCTCCCACAGAAGGCAGTCTCCATTTCTCTCTGCTTTCCTCTTCTCCGTTCCTTTTCTTAATTTTCGCCCAAAAAAATGACACCACTCTCCTCTGCTTACTGAGATATTGTTTTCCTCGAAATTTAGTCCATTTTTCACTCATTAATATTTTGTTATTTTTTATCTTTCCATTTCCACCTCATATTTTTTTATGGAAAATTGAAAATAAATATATACTCGTATGGAGGGGAAAAAATTGGTGGTTGATTCAACGGAAAAAAGATAAATAGGTGGCTGAAAGGTGGTGGGAAAACACGTTCTATGTAGACGCCGTTATGGCCACCAAAAACACAAATAAATGCAAACAAAAATATCAGCTTGGAGTGAAAACGTTGGAACAAAGAACCTGTTTTTGTCTTTCACGATTTCGTGGTCACCTCAGCTTAGGCTTGTGAAACTGTACCGTAGACCGTTCGACTATAAAATATACTGTATCGGCGATGGTGTTTAACGGTAAAATAGTTAAACCATGATTTCAGTATAAAATCCTCTATTATTAGCTTTTTTGGTTACAACCTCCAATGCAATTTCGTAATCCTTAATTGGGGGTGGTTATCCGTACATATTTCGTTACTAGTGGAGGACATACAGGTAAGGTTGTTTCACCGTAGATATAGTGGTTGCAGGATGGTATTAGTTAGGTTCATTGAGTCACTGATTAGATAAAAACATACTCCCAAATTTCATGAACAATCATTCCCAGCGGCAAATTCAGAATAGGATAGAGCACTGAGCTACAATTGAAAAGAGATGGAGAGTACTGGACCGTAACCTAACGCGAGCACTTAAATTGAACACCTAAAATTGAAATTTACAATAGCTATAATACTAGCTCTGCATCTAAGGGAGGGCTGGGTCGTGACCCCCTAAATCCGTCGATAATCATTACCAACTAAGGAAAAAAATCATCTTTGTCAAACTTTACAACATACATGAGTCAATACTAGATAAATAAATTATCAAATAGTAGATGACAAACATTGGACATTTTTACATGTTCTGGATTTAGGTAAGAGTTTATATTCATTAAGAGTTGAATGTCTTGGGTTGGAACCAATGTTTACAAGTTCTGGATTCAGCTAAGAAGAAAATAATAATAACAATTCCACTGTTTATCATTACACCTCAAAACTTAAATTTCCTCATGTAAATCTGACATACAAAATTAAAAATAAAAAGAAAATCTGAAAAACTCACGACTATCGAACCCGACACATCACAATAAATGAATAAACTTCACTTTTTTCATCAAGCCATACGACCATCTAGCTAGCAATTAGATGGCGAAATCCACGCGAAATAACTCGAGGGACGAGGATCCAAACTAGCAAAACACTTGTTTTCACATGGACCACCACTGATATCGAATATCCCCCGCATATGATAAACACAATTTCGTTTGCACTCGGGATGCTCTCTGTGGTGGAAACAAATATAGCCTTATAGCTATCAAAAAACAAGGCATAATCACCTATCGTATCAACTTTAACCCATACCCTTTCGTCTTCAACGAGTCTGCAAACAGAGAAATGACTTCCAGCCACGAGCATTAGCTCCCCCTCTGGACTTACTGCTAAGTGATAGCCGTCGAAGAGAATCATCGTCCAATAATACTCAAATCCATCATTCAATGATGAGAAGAAGACCTGCAGTGGCAAATGCCAAAGACTTTGTAATTAGGTGTCTTTTAGGTACAAAGTTTCTCAAAAAGTTTGAATGATCAATCACTGTTACAATTCGCTCCAGTTGAGGTGTATATATCGTGGTTGTATTAATTTTAATGTGAATGATATGATCGTAATTAAAAGATGACACGCGCGGTAAGGGACCATTTTATACAATTTCAAATTTTTTGTTATCGCGTATCAACTATCGTTACAGATTAAAAAATTTGCGACCCGTTTTGTTTTGTACTAAGTAAAAAAAAATTTATAACTGTTTATTTTAATTTACTGCAACTAATTACCCGTGGCCTGAACGGAAAGACCCCACCTTCGCGTATGACGATCTGGTCGTGATTGGACCCAACGAAGTCGAAAGTCGCAAACTGGCCCTCCCGATCGGGAATGGATCAGGTGAGTAACCTTATGGTGAGTAACCATGAGTAACCCGTCCACATCAGCATCCTCTCTCTCATGGAAAGCCTTTAATTTTCCCTCTTTAATCTTTGACGGACGATTTCTCGCTCATTTTAAGTCAAAATTAAAATTTTTTTGCATAGTTAGATCAGATTAATTATGCTCTTCAAAATGATATCCACTTTAATATATTTTTCGAACAAAAAAATTGAGCCATTTTTTACCTATGTTTTGAAAAACGTACCATGGTGGTATGAACAAACCAATACTGTAGGATGGTTGAATACATGATAGTAGAAGTATATTAATTGTAATTTACGATTTTTAACATTGTATACCACACAATACTACCCCGTACCAGGGTGGTATTGTATGGTATTGTGTGGTATTTTTTGGTCCTGTAATTTGTTCACCCAGAAATTTGTAGATCCAATAGATCATGATGAACTCGTCCCTTCTGTGCAAACGTTTTCAAACACGAATTAAAAACGAAGAAGATACCATACAATACCACCCCGTACCAGGGTGGTATTGTATGGTATTGTGTGGTATTTTTTGGTCCTGTAATTTGTTCACCCAGAAATTTGTAGATCCAGTAGATCATGATGAACTCATCCCTGCTGTGCAAACGTTTTCAAAAACGAATTAAAAACGAAGAAGATACCATATGGTATGCAGTTGATACCGAGAGGCCAGATTTTTTTTTTCCTAAAAAAATATTGAAAATTGATCTCATTTTGTAGAGCACGGTGAACTCGTTCCATCCGTGCAAAAAAAATTAAAATCCGAGTTAAAACGAAAAAGATATGAGTCAATTAAGAAAGCTAGTGAAAATAAAAATATCATTTAATTCTCCATCCTTAGATCTGAATTTTCTAAATAAAGGGTTCAGATTTGGTTATTGATGGGTGCATAACCCATGGTTATGCACCCTATCTTGAGCCCTCTCGATCCATCGCATGAAACCGTTCCTTCCAAAACACGATTTCCAAGTCCCCAACAAAATTCAACCTCTCGACCTCAGGGATCAACCTCCACCGTTGATCCCTTCCCAGCTTGCAAAATGCTAGGCCAATCCGACCGTCGATATAATTATTATTATAGCCACCATAAAATATCATGACGAGGCAGCCCTCCGTGCTTGTCGGCGCCGCCGACATAGCGAATCCCCTGACGGCGGCGGTGGTTGAGGATAAAAGGATCTGAGCTCCCGTAAGAGGGTTTAACAAGTAGAGAGAATCTCCTCCTCGTGGCATTATTTGTACGAGCAGCCAGCCGAAGGCCGAGCCGAGCTGAGGGTGAAAGGGCAAGCCGACGTGGCGGAGCGGACGCTAGTTGTTGTTTCCCAGCACGTCGGCGACGCGCTGGCAGTTGGGGCGGTCGGGCGCGTCGTAATGTCCGCACGACCAGGTCAGCCACGGCAGGGTTTGGCGGAACTTGGGGGGTTTTTGGTCGCGGTCGAGGGCGGCGGCGGCTCGTCGCCAGGGCTTGCAGACTGCTGGGAAGCGCGTGACGTCTCGTAGTTTGGTGAAGCGGCGCGTGATTGCGTGGAGAAGGTCGGCGGGCAGTTGGGACCAGTCGCGGTGTTGTTCGGGGGATGACGTGTCGTTGTTGTTGTTGTTGTTGTCTAGAGGGATGCTGCTGCTGGCGGCGTTGCGGTGGGCTTTCCTGGCGTAACGGCGCATGATGGTTTTGAGAAGCTTGCGGCGGCCGGTCGCTCTGCTTGACTGCTCTGCCATCAATCATATTGTGGTGTTGCAAAAACACTGACGTTGTTGGTATTGTTAGTTTCTTTCTAAAGGGTTGGGAGGGAAGGCAGGGTGGGATAAATAGGTGGCGGAAACCGTGCGCCGCAAGGTTAATCGAGAGCCAGAAGAAACCGTCTTAGTTAGCATGCGTGGGCCGAGGATGGGCCGAGTCGTTGTGAGCTGGGATGGCAGGCTGACTGGGCTTTCCCTCTCTAGGAACATTCTTCGCTATTAACAAAAAAGCCCACATCACCTCACCTTCTAATTAGGCTTCTCCACGCCCGATGCACGTTTCGTTTTTTTTCCTTCTTCTTCCATAATTAATCTACTAGCTTATTACCCGGTCCGTTGGCCGGATTACTGTATGTTACTCACTTGTGGAATGGGAGAGAAAGCAAGTGAGAGTGAAGGGATTGGGATTCTACTTGATTAGGACCGACCCACTAATTCAATTCTTCCCGACCCGCCCCAACCTACAGGGTCAGAAAGAGTCAATAAGAAAATACGAACAGGGAGGATTAGTCATATATCTTGACTCTTCAGAAGTGGGTCAAACAGGATCAAGGTTGGGTGAGGGCAATTTTTAGCGCTAAGCAGAGTTCTGTGTTGAATACCTTTACTTAGGCCTAGAAATTGGTGCTGATGCAGACTGCAGTTTTTATTATACCATCATCAATCATCATTGAATTAGTCCTAGGCATCACTCCCCGTTGTCGGTCTGAATTCTAATGATGGCTTCATTCCTTGCACCAGCCATATCAGCGAGTTGCCATCTCGAGCATGATTTGCCTATGTACAAATAATACAATTAGAGTATGAAAATGAATTCAATGAAAAGGAAAAGAAAATTCTATCACATGCCAATAAATACACACATAATAGTTGAAGCTAAGTGAAAGTCATTACTCGCACATCAATTCTCAAAAATTACAGACTAAACATTGGCTAGAATGGGACTGAAACTACCAAGAATCATGGACGAAACAACTTGTCAAATTAAATAATCCTTATACTGAAACTACCTTCTAACTTGAAATAAGACATGATCACAGTTCATAGCTCTCTTCTCACTATGAATTGGTTGCAGCTCGTCCTTATCACTGCCTCTCAAGCTCAATTCAAACAGAATAGCGACCGTTATGTAAGATAACCATATTCTTACTGATCATAATTCCTTTCTTCACTCCATTTTTGTCGGAGAAAAGAGTTATCCCCCTCTCCTGCATTTCCCTTTCCCCCTCTCT